TCGTTTGGTTTCAAAGATGACATCAAGTGGAAGAGGAAAAAAGCGGCAAAAAAAGAAGAAGCTTGTGTATCTTGATAATACTTCAACACGTTTTTGCGTTTTGCATGTTTTATCAATCACAAGAGAGAGAGAAACATCTGATTGGTTTGATCATTTAATTACTTCGGTGATAAAAAATAAAAACGTTAAAATACATTGGCTTTCATCTGATAAACATTTTTTTAAAAAGCTTCCTTAATAGTTCGTTGACTGTTTGAGACAATAGAAGGAAGCATTTTCTAGATAAGACCATACTGTGGATTTTAAACAGATAATTTTTGTTGTCCTATAAAGGTACTCGATAGCAAACGTAAACTCGTTGTTGTGCCTGTCTTCAATGTCAATAAATATATATCTTTTCATTGTAAAAGTAGATATGTAAACGGAAAAGAATATCCCACTAGTTCTCTAGAAAAACGAGAAGGCTCGTATTCACCTGATTTACATATATTTTATACTATTATTCATATCGTATTATGAGGATTCAAGTTCAAATTATTTATTCTGTGGAAGTAGAAGGCTGATTAATTGTCTTGCAAAAAACGTTTTCATCAATTATGTTAAATTAAAGCAAAACGGATGATTTGTTCTGGATACTTTTTTTTTTTGAGTTTCTGTCTTTTCAAAATGGTACACATTCAGTTCTATACGATTATGATCGACAGAAGAAAACATAATAATTCGGTAATCAAGTTCAAGCTGTTTCTGGACTTATCGCTTAACTAAAATCTCTGTTGGATAGTATCAATTAGTTATTTTTATTATATTCCGATTGAAATATAAACAATTAGAATTTATGCTAATCATCGACTATACTACTTAAAGGATAAAAATCTACCTTATTATTTTTTTATTCAGATGAGAAAAACAGACGAGAAACACTCTATACGTAACATTAGTTCATCAAAACAAGGTCAAGAGGAAGAACAGAACAACAAAATACACTAATGACCTTGAACGAGAATTTAGTTCTGTTTTCTTCTTCTTCATGTATAATTGATTTTTTTTCTTCTTTTTCGGTCGACCTTCTCGTTTATTTGATGGACAATGGTGATCAACCAACTGTATAGACTTAACATGTCACTATGCTTGAGCGCTTGTGAATCGAAAGAATGAAATGACGTAAAAATTTGAACGGTTTGATAAAGAAATGAAATGAAAAGTGTTTGTGACAAAGCTAGGTGTATATTAAAGAGTGATTGATATGTTCGTTAATCGAAAATAGAATAAAAAGAGAACAATCACTACGCTTTAACGGTCATAAAATAGACACTTCACATGTACATTTTACAGAAGTACGCGTGTTCAGGTAGAAGTAAATAAAGAATTTTGAGTTATATTAGCGAAAATACACAATTTGATCAGTGGAATAAACAGCTTCACGAGAATATCTTTGAACTTTCAACGCGAGTATCTGACGACAGTTTTGAAAAAAAATAAAAAAAAGGCGAAAGAGAACTCAGAATCCAAGGATGTTGATCAACGAGAAATCAACTGGAAGAATTTTTAATACTTTTTGATCGTAATAATGAAGTAGTTCCTTAACCGAAACTGCAAGATGTCTCATTATAAAGAACAAGCGTTTCGTCTGGAGTGGTAATCAAGCAAGCTCTGTCAAATGAGTTCTCTCGAAAGCGAAACATTTAAACTGAAGATTTTCCTGCACCATATAGATTTCAATCGGGTGGTACTTTTGTTTACGCTTTCAAAAGAGTAGAAATCTTCAATCTAGGGTATAGTATGAGATTCAGGTAGTAAAGTATAATACTTTCTTCAACGAAAAGAAAGTCGACATTCACATTTTTATACATAGTGTTAGAGATACTATGTAACATCTTTTTATCCGTCTACGAATATTATACCTTTTCTTTCTTAGGAATAGAGGTGAACAGGAATAGAGATAGTAAACTTAAATTCAATTGTATTGGTTTTCTTGCACTGCTTAGCTAACTTTTTTTTAAATGCGCAATCAATGAGTTTTGCTTCAGTACATCTAATAAATACTAACGCATCATTACTAAATTTTGTGTTAATAAAACTCTCACGCACACACATACACTTACTTTTCTCGAAGGTATATGAAATTACTTTTTAATTACTGTAATATAAGTTTATTGCCACATACGACTCAGTCGCATTTATGCACGTAAGAATAAACGAACCTAACTAATTACAATAGTGTGTATGTATCATAAATGGAACTATTGTAAACCTATGTTTTTTTGCTCAACACCAGAATTACTCATTCATCCATTTTAACGACAAAAAACATATCTCAAACTGTTTTTTGTCTACTAAGATCATTAAGAAATCGTTTGTTATAGTGGCACTATCAAGATAACACCTTGTTGACAGAATTTTTTTTTCTACGATAGAAAGGTGTGATAGACGTCGAATGAACCGGAACTGATTCAACGTGTAGAATATTTATCATCAAATATTAACGGTTGCTGTTCATATTATAGTAACTTACGTAAGCGATTGAGCAATCAATTTACAACTTTAAATATAATACCACCCTTCCAAAACAAATCCCATCTGGTCTCAGTGAAATCACTGTTTTCGTTTATTTACATTTCACATCTATGTCGGTTAATTTTACTTTGTTATGTAATCAATTTTTTCCATGTTTAATATACTGGAATAATATTTCACAACATTTGAAAAACATTAGAAAACGAAAGATTTTTCACAAGCAACAAAGCAGAAGAGCTATCTACTATACAATAGAAGAGTCTTCTATAAATAGTACAATGAAAGAATAATAAAGTTTCTCTTGTCACCAACTTGTTAGTATGCGTGCTACTATCTACAAGGAAATACTTCACGACCACCGATTCAATATTTACTAGAAATAAAGCTTTGATGTTTCAATGAGAAACGCATATTGTCAATAATATGGTGGTGGATTTTTTTTGTGAGCAAAAAAGCATCCTAAAACCATTAATATCATAGGAGAGCTGAATGAAAGGTCAAACATTAGTTTATATTTCAAATTTTAGACCTAAAGTTTCATTCGAAAACTGCTCATTTCGATTAATAAATTTCAATCAATTACTATTATTCGATCCTTCGTCTCTTATCAACTTCACTCATTATGATTTATCTATCAAGAATATTTTTGTTTTAATGATTATATTGTGTAAAATTTCTCATTACTTGTCTATCATATGAGTGTATTTAAGACAATTTCAAGTCCTAATTGATGAATGTTTAACCAAATATCGCTTATTAAGATTTATTTGAACACTTTCCATTCAACAAATTTGTCTATCACTCACTCAAAAAAACAAAAAAAAAATCGCTTTTCTAATTGTACAATCTCAACATTTTTTCTTATTAATAAAAGATCATTCATTCGAAAATATCTATCATCCAATAATATTTAATCTGTCCTTGAATAAACGGTCATTGCGATTAAGTATATCTATACATCTATGATGTAAAAAACAGGTTGACCAATGGATATAGGTGAATAGCTAGCCGTATTTACATAATAATAAGAAGAGAGAACAGAAAAAAGAACAAACAAGAGGTAGATATGTCTATACGTGTGTACTTGAACATATAAGACCTTGAACATTTTTTTTGTTTGGTTCACGTAATAAATAGAAAAAAATATCTATAATAGGTCAAGAAGAGAAATAGAGAGAGAGAGAGAGAGAGAGAGAAGAGAGAAACTTTAAAAATAAAATTTAGAACAAATAAAAATTCATCCATACTCTAGCAACTGTATTCAGTTTTCAAAAGATCGCGTAACAATAACAAAACTCCTTTTCAAATGTATAAACGTGTTTCTTACGTAAAAAACGAGACTTGTTCACGTAAGTAAGACGTAATAACTTGTAATCAAAAAATTAAATGTAAGTATTAAATATTTAATTAAATAATCCTTTACAAAATGTATGATCATACTCAGGTATAGTTGTTATTGTTGTGTGCCATAATTTATATAATTTAGATAAAATATTTTTTACTACTACAGGTTTGATTCTATCTCTTGTTCCCTCTCTCCATTCTTTTGCCTCGTCTTTTAGTTTTATTTTAATATTTCTAATTGAATTATGACTATTATAATAGCATTCTATTGGTGTCATTTGGCCGGAAACGATTGATCTACGAAGTTTGAAATCATTTATTTGAATTCAAATTTAATTACTGGTAAGAATTTTTACTACATTTTACAAGAAATTTCCGTTTATTTTTTATCACATCATTTTTTTGCGTGATTTTTATTCTGATCATCGCAAGATGTAAAAGTTAGAATGTCACAGTTATTAATATAATTGAAAAGTTTTTTTGAGCTGGTCAGTCGGTGGTTTGTCATTTGTTAATGCCTTACTATATAAGTATGAAATGATACGTTAACGAAATTTGGCTACCAAAATTGAAAAAAGTAATGGAAAAAGTTTAAAAGATGATTAGCGATAAAATTATTTTTACTTTTCGGAAAAAATCTTGAATACTTCTGTTTTGATCTGAATACAAAACAACAATTCTACAAAATAATTCGTTAGACATCTGATTGTCTACCTAATAATACACTTTAAATTAAATGCCAATGTACTCTGCAGATAAAGTCACTTCTACCCATTTTATAATCAACATTTTCAATGGTATTATAAAATAGAGTGAGTAATAAAGATCAGTTTTTAGATCCTTCTGAGAGCCTGCAATTAATATTGAAAACGGAAGACAAAAATCATAGAATTGACTCTTACACTCTACGGCTAAGGATATTTTTTAATTTTTGAGATTTCATATACACCGTTCAAATAGTAGAATAGATAACAAGATCTTTGTTTGTCTTTTTTTGTTTTTTTTAAATCATTTATTTTCTACATTAGTAAAGTGGCAAAGGGTAATCATATATGCCACAGACTCTTATATAGTACAATAAAAAATGAAGCAAAAGGATCTTTGTTTTTCGTAGGTACAATCAAAACGTGTTGTATTAAATAATGCACCATCCACATCAATATAATCCGTACGCAATCCCAAATAGTTATCTTCGAAAATCCACTTCCTATGTTCAACAGCAGTCATGCTATTTAAATGATTCTACTGGAAATAACACATCTTCATCCAGTCCTAGTTCAAATAATAGTTCAAATCCACTTCATTCATCATCCTATTACGGACTCGATTTATCTCACAATTTGAAAAATCCATCACGACCAGAAAGTCGACATAGTATTGAAAATAGTCCATCACCCCCTATCACAGCAACATCATCAACAATTCTGACCGATATTAGAAATTCATCATCGTACAATAACAACATAAACACAACATCACTATTGAATATAAAAACACCATCTAATTCCAATTTAAAAAATCATCTTGGTCTACCACCAACATTAATTTCACCATTGTCATCAGAATATTCATCAAATTCACTGCCACCAAAAAAACGCGTTCGACCCGTACCACAGGAACAAAAGGATACAGCATATTTTGAAAAACGTGCACGAAATAATGAATCGGCTAAACGTAGTCGAGATGCACGACGTCAAAAAGAACAACAAATACAAGAACGAGTATGTTTTCTAGAACATGAAAACTTTCAATTAAAAACTGAAAATGCTATGCTAAGACATGAACTACAACGTTTACATGCATTTTATCCAAAATAATTGAGAAACTTTTTGTTTTTTAACGGTTTTTTCCTGTGAAGTCTGTCTAAAAGAAACAACTAAAGAAGAAATAAGATATTTTTGTACCATTGTATTTTTTATAAACATTTTTGTTTATTTTCTAAAATGTAGATTTATTTGTTGATTAAAAATCAAAACGTGATATAACCTAGTCTTTTAAATGATATTATATGGTTCTTAATGCAAACTTGAATTCTTAAACATTCTATTTTATATTGCTGAATGAAATCTAATTATATTGTATATATTAAATTGACTCAAAAGATTAAGATTGAGTTCAGTTAAAGGTCATTTCATTCAACTATTCATAATTATATACATCGAATAGAATTTCTTACGTCAATATGCGCGTGTATAACGTAATATAACAGCAAATGACTATACATTATTAGGCAATAGTATGTATATGTCTGTTAAGCACATGTTGACTTGAAAAACAGAATCAGTCAGCATGATAACACAATAGAGGTCTATAAACAAGAAACAAGGATAAAAAACATAACATTTTTGTCAAATGTCTAAAAAACTGTGCCTGTTGAGTAGTATAATGAGTTAAGTAGGACTCGTAAAGTACTTGATAACAATACAACGACGTTTTTCGTAATGAGTACAGCTCAATCTCCAACTGAGAATAACAAAATCGAACATCATTTCCTTATATATAAGAATATGTACAAAAAAGAAACTAAAATATATGTAAATGAACACGTAGCCTGATAATTGTAATAAGTATATAAGCATCAATTAGAAACTCAACTGAATTGAAGGTTATCATTAATTGATGCATTTTAAAAAAAAATACCAGTTTCAGGTTCCCTTAAAGAGCATGTGATGTCGATGTCGTTTTTCTGTTCACAATATTTTCGGGTTTTTTCCAGTGAGAAGCGTGTAAGAGTGGTTTTGCTGCAGGATATTTCAACATTCGACTCCTCGAAATATCAATGTCAAATTTTTGACACCTGGGATACAACTCCTAGGACTTTTGGAAAATTTGTTATCTTGCATTTTTCCATAGTCAAATTTGGAAAATACCCAAGAAAAGCAATTTTTTGGTAATATTCGCTAAATTTTGTCATTAAAAAAAAATCAGGCTATGCTGATTTTTCGGAGGAATTACAAAGATGACGTTTTCTGCCCAAAATAAAAGCTTCAGAAAAATTCTGAAAAGTGGTGGTGAAGCGTAGAATGGTGGCTGCTACGTAATTTTGCAATGATCTCCAATTTCACAAAGTCAAAACTAATTTTTTCGATAGAAACTAATATTTGGATTGATTAGGCCAAATACGGCCGCACATTACGAACTGTATTTGAAGTCGTTGTATGTTAATTCTACAGTAAAGTTTTAGAGACAAACTCGAGAATATAAGTGCTTGAATACCTTTAAGACAACTCCCTTTTTTTTGTCAACAGTATGAAGATTTTTTCTTAGAACATTTTTATAGCATCACGAAAAACCTACAAATACCAGCCAGTGCCCATCTTCAATAAAACTCAGTTTTCTAGGCGAATGTAAAACCCGTTTTAATTTTAAGCAGGATCTTCATGATCAACGCCAATGATGCACTTTCTATCAGAAAAACTCGAAATATTGTCGACAAAACAAAAATTCTTAACACCATATATCTTCAAGATAAAAAATCAAAAAAATCATGAGTTTTCTACCTTTGAGGTATATTTAACAGATATGTCATCTAAGTTGAACCTCATTGAAATCAACAGCATTTGCCTTTAAACACGTTAAGTAACGGCGCCGTTCATTCACGAAAGTTTGCATGCATGCACATTTCATTCCACAAGTGGCTATTTTCTAACTGAATAGTACATGATGTTAATATAAGACTTCTTATCACTTCAAAATTCAGTTCAAAAGTAGATTATACGTATAAAATATTATCACAGCATTCGAAATTATTTTGAAAAATAAAAATAAATATAATATGTAGAAAAGCAACGATACAAAAATCATGCGTTTCGTTTCTTGTGCTTTAGTTTTGTTTTATTTCGACTACTAAACAAGATCTTAGTAGATCCGTTCCTGTCTGAAGAAATGTGCGATTTTCTAGTGAAGAAATTCTCAAGATTTTGAATTTCTCTAGGTATATCTTCTGCAGTTTCGGTTGTGGTAGTTAGATGTACAATTGTTTCACTCGGAGTATTTGTTTGATTAGAAAAGGTTTGGATAAAATTTTGGAGTCAACTTCTGTGACGATTATCATAGAGCAATTTCTGACGACGGTATTTAGATGGAAAAAAAAACTACTGAATATTTTATGTACGGTTAAAAACTCGAGTAAATAAATATAAGGAGATATGTATTAATCAAAACATCTCCTAAATACGCCTTTATCATAATCAAATAACAGTTTATGATTTACATTAGATATAGAGAAAAAAACCATTACATCTGTACAGAGAATGCTTTACACACGGTACAGAGATCAGTTTTTACTTAATGATGAATCACACAGTATAGCAATCATCATATATCGAAGATTGTTTAATTATCGGTTGTGCGTCTATGACTAGCATGATAAATAAACCGGTTAATATACTGAAAATAAACACTGTTTCCGATGTATCTCCCGAACTGTAGCTCGTACAAAGTTTCGGCCGCACAAAGGACGCATCTACATAATATAACAAACATAAAGTCCGAAGGAACCATATTGTCCAGATGAGGTGTTGACAGAAAAGTGTCCGTCACCAGGTTTGAATCTTTTGTGTTCTTAAATTGTCGGTTTTACTAACAGCTTGACCCCTGCTCAAGCTAGCTATAGTTGCGAGACAGGGTAATAAAAAAGAGAGCATAAATGACAAAATGAACGCGATACACTTTGCCCATTATCTTTTTAGTAACAATGCTTTTGGATCCATTAGTTCTTTTAGTTTATCTTATAAGATTTATTTCTAAGAAAGTGTAGTTAAATATAAAAAGAAAAAAGGATGCCTTTGTTTCAAGCGTCGTATTGATCAGTTGGTGTAACAGTTAATACAGCTAATCATCTGATTTCACACGGTTTTCAAATTGGATAAATAAGAATAATCAACAGAAAATATCTGCAAATCTTCTTATAAATGAGAGAGTAGAAACATATAGAAATTGAGGATATTTAATCATTCACACTACTATATTTTGCTAATGACAACGCTGATAAAAGATTCAAAAGTGATTTTAATTTAACTCTTTGAGGCAGAATGTCCCTCCCAAGGAACATTATAATAGTTGACATGTAACAAAAATCCAAATCCAAAAACGAACAGTTGTCTAGACTAAGATAGTCTAGTAGATTATTGACTGAAAAACAAAACGCTTTTAACTGGCTTCTCAAGGAGATAATGAATTTGTCAAGATTGAACATTTTTTTAAATGCAAGTTTTTGTTTTGAAGGTTTAGTCTGTTCATAGACACAGTGTGTAGTTTTGTTATTGTGACTGATATTGACGAGTATTACATTCATCTATCCTGTGTAAACAGTCCGTAAATTTCGAAGCGATCTACTGTCACGATATAACAACTGAAAGAACATTCGGTCATAACGGCATGGAATATTTTATAACGTACAAATAACAATCCAAGCTTTACTTACAATTGAAAATGAAATGTACTCTAGGAAAATATAATGGAAATGTTTGAACTGTAACGTTCATTTAAGTCTGAGTTCAAGTAGAAAGTGTTTTACACAATATCTGGCTCAAAAATAACTGAATACTATATTCAAATGAACATTTTTTTTGCACAGAATATGTTATTTTTGTGCTATTTTTCAAACTATAAAAATACGTGTTGATCAGCACTCTGTATGATAACAGTAAAATAAATAGAACCATTCCGATAAAAGGAATTCATTTCGTTTCAGCAAAAAAAACTTGTAAAATTCATGCCGTTAAGGCCGAATGTCCCTTCCAAGGGACATTCTGTATCTCTATATGAAATAAAAGCTAATTTTTTTAGCTATAGCATGAGCATACTGAGGCACAGTGGGCAATCACATGGAAATTAGGTGAAAAAACGAAAGTGAGTTTTTCGAAAATTCAAATTTTACTATCTAACATACATTAACCAATGCCTGATTTATTGGTGAAAAAATTTTGATCCAGGTGTTGAATACGGTTGAGAAAAGTAAGTCGGAATTTTCGGCCAGTTTTGCCAGGTTTTTCAAAAAGCCGTTGTTTTGGCCAGCTAAAATAAATTCCAAGAAACTGAAACACATATATTCTGAAAGCTCAGCTTGCCAGCTATCGATTCAAATGTTAAACTTTTTATTTTAAAGAATTTCATAACGAGAAAAATGGAATTTTCCGTAGACTAGGTGTTTTCCCACTACGCGTGCGTAGTATAGTGGGTGCGCCATCTAGCGCCAAGCTCCGTTCGAGCTGGAACTTTCAGGAAATATTCTTCTGTATGTGGTACGTCTATATAATTAGCAGAAAGTTCCAGAAATGTTTCTTTGCGGAGTTACGGATTTTACAAAAACCGCAACGTTTTTCGCTGGTTTTTTTTGCTTAAAAGTCACTTTTCGCCAGAAATAAGGACAGATTCGGAATCCACGCGAAAAACTGCATCGAATGATATATAATTCAAAACATTTTTCTATAGAAAAGTTTTCAATCACACTGAATCATAGCGTAGGAGCACTACTGCAGAAAATTTTCATTCTGCATGTGGCCATATGCTGCAGTAGTGGTAGATAAATCTATAAACATACTTTTTATAGGATTTCGAATATGCTCTTTCCAACGGTGAGATTTTCGAAATCCGAAAATAATCTTTTGTGGGTTTTCTGAAGACCGGATCTCTAAAAAACTCAGAAAGGATTATTTTTGGATTTCAAAAATCTCACCATTGGAAAGAGCATATTCGAAAACCTATAAAAAGTGTGTTTATAGACTTATCTACCACTTCTACAGCATATGTCGACGTGCCTAGTCAAAATTGCCCACTGTGTGAGGATTCATCATCTCTACTTGTGTGATCAACTTCTTCCCGTTGTCAAAAAAACGCCCGGCGACTTTTAAGGGTTAGGAAAATTCTGAACAACAGAATTAATCCATGATTTTAATAAACGATGAAATGTCTCTAGAGATTCTATTAGAGAAGCAATTTTCGAATACAATTGGCAAACCAGTTCTCTGTTCCAGTAACCCCAATTATATCTAGATGATCATATATACCACTGATCATTGTATTGGTGTGCGTTTATAAATTTTGTTTAATCAGAGGCTGTAGGATCTATATCAATACATCTAAATCTGACTATATCTTTCTTGCAGTTTCTTGAACAGAAGGAAAAAATTGATGTTATGAGACGAATACTTTTTCGTATTGTATTTGTGACTTGTCCTCTCCTATTATGTATCGCAAATTGATTTATTTATACTTTGAATATTGATGAAGCGTGTCTCTGCTTCGAACGTATCACTGAAATTTTCTTTTTTCTTTTAAAAATTGGGTCATTCAGTATTCAGACACTGAAGTATAGAAGAAACTAAAAATGTACTTTTAATTGAAATATATTCGTTTTCTGTTTGTACACTTTTTTCCGTTATCAATAACAATTTTCGTTTTTTTGTCGTTTTAATTTGTTTTCTGCACCCTGTCAAAACAGTGCATAATAGATAAATTAATAGTAAAGTAAAAAAAAAGGTATTAACTATAGTAGGAATATTTTTATCAGCTGCTTTTGTTTCTCTCTAATGAATAAATTCCATTCCATGTAACTATTCTTAATTCGAACTGTTATCTTCAATGTCTGACATGATTAAAATTCTATTAAAAAACTATATATTTAGCCAACATTTCGATCGTAATCTTCTATATGTTCAGTTCTTATAGATTAAGTAGAACACAAGTTTTACTGAAATAGATGGAAATAAGGAGTAAAACATTCACTGTTCTACTTACAGAAAAATCAAGATGAAGTGCATACACTAAACACCACAATTGTACATTTACAATCTAGTTAACTTTCAAAAAGAGAATATAGAATATTGTATTTTTAAAGAAAGCATGATAATAATCAAAAGCAAAACTTAACAAATTAAATAAATAAATAAATACAATGACAACGTAAAGAAGAAGCATAAATTACAATTAGCCTGCTGTAGACAAAAAACATCTACATAATTCTTACAGTCGCTGCACAAAGAAACAAATAAATTAATTACATTATCTATTTTTTCTCGCAAATCTTGCGTAAAAAAAAATATTTGTAAGACAAAAATAAATTTAAGTGAGATTCTTCTAGAAAGCACTGTATATTCATAAACAAAAACAAAAAAATAATATGCAAAATACCTTAAGTGGAATGAAAGCCTATTTGAATTAGATATCTATGTACAATTAAATATGAGTATTTTGTATTATCTTTTACAAAAAACTAAAAACAAATTTCAGTAGAGAAAGTCAGATTACCGACTAGACGATGGGGGAGCAAGTAATGCAAAATAATGATGTAATGTTTCTTTAACAGCTGTACAGATTTGTTGTGCTGGTGATGTTGTACATTCAACTAAGCATGGATAAAGATCAATTAATTGATGCCAAATAGTGAGTTCAACTAAAACAAGAAACATTATCAAAATGAATAGAAAGTCGAATGGACTGGCTTGTTTCGCGTATATTACAGTAAAATAATTATTGACGTATTATCATCTTCAAATTCTTCTGTTCAAGTGTAGCCGAAATCTTCTTTTTCCTTTTCATATTTGGAAAAATTCCGCTACTTTGCATAGAATTTATAACTATTTTGTTTCTAATCAAACGTACTATTCATTACTTTCATTTAGTTCGCAAATATCTAATTTCTCAAACGATGAACATAGTTGAGAACTTCAAAAAACAAAAGCTTACCAGAGTTTTTGGGTGCCTTTTTTAGAGCCGTTATCAAAGTTCCAAGTGCCTTTAATACAGAAATCATTTCAGCTGTTCGTGGCCTAAAATAAACAGAAAACAAAAATATTTTTAATAGATGTATGCAAAACTTCTTTTAGAAATGAAATAAATCCAAGATAATGCAGTCAGAGGAAATACAATCATGATCTTTACAGCTACATAAGATAAATCAGAGAATAAAATGAAGCATATTTACATGATTTATACCAACAATCACATTCTAATTAGAAGGCTTACTTTATTATTGCTAAACCTTTTTCGTACGAGACAAAAAATTTATAATAAGAAAATATACACTTCAGCGATAACAAAAAGTCAAACAAGCAAAAAATGATCATCATCAAATGAGGCACTGAATTATTCAGCAATTTCTCACGTGCAATAAATGCAATTTTGTAGTGTATGCTTAAGAAAAAAAGATATTGACAGATATGAATATACGAGTTATCTATGACTAACTTATGACGATAATACTTACGGAAATAGTATTGATGAATATTTTTTATTGTTTTACAATACTACTATTACTACTGGTAGAGTTTCTTTTCAAATAGTGGTAATGATGATGATGATGATGATGTTAGTTCGAAATTACTGAAATGATTAAAATGAGATCCTACCCTTGTTCTTTCAAATACTTCAGTTGATGATAGTTATTGTATACTGTAACAACAATAACAAGAAAAATAGAAAAACTAAAATTTTAATCTTACCGTGGTAAAGGACATTTTCCATGTAAACGTTCATCATGTGCATATTTTTGCATGATTTCTTTGCATCTATTGAGCATTGAACTTAGTGCAAGTTTTGTAATAAGCATACCATCATTTGTTGATGAAAATGAAGATGATGTTTCGTTTATAAATGAATATTTTAGTAGAGTTTCAAAACAAACTTTTGAAAATTCTTCACGTAAACGTCTACTAGAATCAATATCTGAAAAAAAAACAATGACATATTTAAAAAATTGGAAAAAAAAATCTCATATTTAAACTCACCTATAAAATTATCTGTTGCATAAGAATAAATCGAACCTCGATTTAAAATATTTAATATTTTCGTAAGAAATGTTTCAGTCAATACATTCGCATAGGGCAATATATCATCTCGAATTAATTCGATTACCTAGAACAATTATAGCAAACATTTACTTCATTCATAAATCTTTTTATTATGATTTGTTTTTCTTCTTACGTACTTGACAATCGATTAGTTCATCGCGTTGAATTTCATCTATAGCACTATCAGCTGGAGCCAAACTAAAACAAAGATCAAATCATATTTAAATTACAAGCAAAATAAGTAAAAAAATAATAATTATGATACCTTTTTGAAAACAGAAAATCATCGAATGTTTTTGCTAATTCTGGCCACATACCTTCAAATGCATTTCCTATTTTTTTTTAATCAACGAAAAAAGATATTATAGACGAGTTATGGTGATAAAGATGATCAAACTATACTAACGATATTTTCTTGCTACAACTAAACCAACTTTTAATACACGAAAAAAACACTCAATAGCCAATTTCCATGTTGATGGACTTGGACAATTATATTTCATTGAGAGTGGAACTTGTAATGTCTATATAAAGGAAAAAAGAAAACATTAAATCTATTTTTAATCAAGAAAAGTTTAAATAGTCAGTTACTAGAAAACGATAGGATTCGACAAGATATTAAGTTACATAAAAGAGAGATTAAGATCATTTACTTGTATAATTGTTTGCAATGTTCCACTTTCAATCACTGATGGATGAGTACCAACATCTTCGTATAATCCAACTGTCATACGCAAAATTTTTTCACTAAATGGTACAAAACTAATATTGTTTGAATGATCACCACCACTACTTTTTAGCAATAAATTATTATTTTGTTGAGTGTTAGATTGTTGCTGTTTTGTTGTTATTAGTTTTTTATTATTGTTACCATCTGTGCAATCGAATATTGGTGGATTAATAGCATAGGATGATAAAACAAGTAAGCGTTGAAATAATAACGGTAACAGAGGAGATTGTGTTGTATGAGATGACGATTCTTTAAGATTCTATTAAGGATAATCTATTAATAAACATGAACAAAAAATACAAAGATTTTATTTACTTTTCTGACAAAATCCATTGCTTTAAATGCTGATTCTTGTAACACAGTTAAATTAACATCAGTTGGTATTAAAAATAAAGCCATATCTGAATGTATTGGTACAGCTAAAATGTGTTCAACTATGGATGAAAATTGTTCAAAATCTTTTTGATTGTATAAAAATTCTGTTGACCATATGTGTTGAATTATATTTGGAAATATGTCAATATAATAGGTTAAAAAATTTTGTGATGGTATATTTGAATCATAACGATCAATAACAATCACCTTTTCGGGTGGACATTTCGTACAACAACGTCCAATATTTAACCACACAACCCACGCTTGATGCCATAATTGTTGATCATCAGA